ATATAAAAATTAATATATTTTTTAAAGGTTTTGTCTTTTTTGAACTGTAAAAGTTAGCTAATTTATATAATATAAGAATATTAATTAGTGATTAATACTATGTTAAAATGTTTAATAACTGATATTATACAGTTGTATACTAGATTTTCTGTACAGATTTACATATATTTCAAAAAAATTTGTATGTGAAAATTTGTAAGTCATATAAAAGCTTTGCAATAGAAAAATACAAAACTCTAAAAAATTAAATTTTTACTTTATAAGCTAAATATAATTTTTTAGTAAATAAATCAAGATTTAATAAAATTTTTTTTAGAATATCATACCTTTCTATTACCAAACTCTCATATGCATATACATATGTTATATTACTAAAATTATACACTGTTTTTGATTTTACAAAATATAAAGCAAGTTCATATTTTAAATTATTTACATATTTATTTTTTAATCCTATCATCAATTTAAATAAAATTATAATAATTTGTTTTTTATCTTTATTTTTATTATAACTTAAATGATTGATATTAATATATTATATATTTTAACATAACAAAAAATCCTTTTAGATCTAAATCTGTATTTTTAAGTATTTTATCAAATTCATTTGAAACTATTTTGTCTTTTTTTATATAAATAATTATCATTATTTTGATTTTATCTTTAAATAATAATTTAATCAATAAATTTAAGATAGTAATAATTTATTTTCATTATAAGTTTGTTGTTAAATAGTTTTATTTATTAATATTTTTTTTATGATCAAATTTAATTAAATATTTAAATTATTATCTTAATAATAAATAGAGTAAGATTTATTATTAATCTTTTATCATAGTATTTTATTATAAGAATTTTTATATATTTTTTCATATATAATTTTAACTTATATTTACATATTATATATTTTATATCACATAAATCTTTGTAATACAAAAAATGTATTAAATGCATAAATTATATAAAAATATAAATTATATTAACTTATTAAGCTAATATTTTTTCTTATATTTTATTTAAGATTATTATGTTAAACTCTTTATATATTGTTTATCAATATAATTATTTGCCTTATATCATTTTACTAATTAACAATTAATATTTATAGTAAATTAGTTAATTAAACAAATGTATAATGATCAGCCAATTAAAATAATTAAAAAATGTATAATAATCAGCTAATAAAATGGATTTTTAACAATATTATACTAATTTGCTTTATATATCTTTTACTCATAAAAATACATATTTTCTTTTATAGTATTCATTATAATATATAATTATTATTGATATTACATTAAAATTATTAATAATTTTACAATATTACAAAATTATAATAAGTGAATAAAGCTTATCCCTAGATTGTAGAATTTTGCAAGCAAATTTACCTGCTTATTTATTATAAATTCTTGTCTGATTTACTTTATAAATAATTGATATTATTTTTTTTTAAATTAATTTTATAAATATGTAATATATTATAACAAGTTTTATTTTTAATTATATAATAAAAAATTTAATGTTACTTAAAAGCTAAAAATTTGTAATTTTAAAAATATTCAAACTATCTATTAATATTATATTTATAAGGAAATTTCATATTTTTTTCTAATATAAAAAATCATTTCTTCATTTCTTCATTAAAAAAAGTAAATTAAAGTTAAGATACAAGTATTTAAATATTTTTTTATCGAAATAATGGAACTTCTTTAATCTTATTATATCACTTTTTTAATATTATGAAATTTTATGTTAAAATATTGTCAAGTTTAATAATTTTTCTTTCATATCTATAGTAAAAATTGATCAATATTATTTATATTTAATCTCAATAAATATTGATATTATAAATTTGAAGTTATGTATAATTTGAGTAAGTTATGTAGAGTTCTTTATTTCGCTTAAAAATAGTTGATAAAGTATCTAAATTTGAGTAAATTTTAAATTTGACTTTTCTAAAACTACTGACTAATTTTACAAATTTATATGTAAATCAAATAATAAATTTTATATTAAAATTAAAAACAATTGAAAGTATCATTTTAAAGTAATTTTTTGGTTTCCAAAAAATTTTCAATATAACGAAATATATGGGAACGTTTCCAGTAAAATCAAGTCATGAGGCATAGTAAATCATATGATCCGTAATGTGATATTATTTTATTTTGTAACGAAATTGAAATTATCTAATTTTAGTATTATATGACCTCTAAACTGGAGAATCAGCAAAAATCAATCCAGCCAAAAATGGACATCGTATTGAAACAATATTTCGTCATACATTGAATAAATGTGCATGAATTGCATAAATGCATAATTACACTTACCTTCTTAACTATATTTTTTGTACAATGAAAATCAACATATAAGGACACAGACCAAAAGGCTATCATCTATCGAGTGACCATCTTTTCATCTTGAACATCTTTGATCAAATACAAAGAAAATATCATACAATGAACAAGAAGGTTTGAAAAAAAATTGTTATTTTATATTAATAAACACCATAATTTATACTAAAAAATGCTTTTTTTTGGACGAATAGGTACTTTTAATGGGAAAAAGTGGGTCTGGCAAGACTTCTATGCGTAGTATTATCTTCCACAACTATGTCGCAAGAGATACACGACGATTGGGTGCAACAAGTTGAGTAAAAACAAATTTTTTGTTTCATTATTTCAACTTCTTATTTACTAACGTTATTATTACGACACAAAAGTCGATGTCGAGAACTCTCGTGTACGTTTTCTTGGTAACTTGGTTCTAAACCTTTGGGACTGTGGAGGGTATGTTTATTATATTAACCATCAACTAACTTTCCTTTCATATCTTGCAACATTTTTTTTATTTATTATTTTATTAGTTAATAAATTGACATGGTACTTTTTTTGAAAGTCAAGAGACATTTATGGAAAATTATTTTGCGGCTCAGCGAGATCATATTTTTCGTAATGTAGAAGTTCTCATTTATGTATTTGATGTAGAATCACGCGAAATAGAAAGAGATATGCACTATTATCAGGATTGTCTTGAAGCAATACTGGCAAATTCAAAGGATGCAAAGATCTTTTGTTTAATACATAAAATGGACCTAGTACAAGAAGAGCTGAGGAATAAAGTAAGCAAATCTTTATAATGATGATTTGTTGGAGAATAGGATCAGTTTAAATTATTATTTCCTCATAGATATTTACTGAGCGATTAAATGAATTAAAAACACGTTCCGAACCTTTAAAGATTACAGCATTTGCTACATCCATATGGGATGAGACCCTTTATAAAGTAAGTTGAATGATAGCTATTATTACGGTATGCATGATTAACGACATGATTTTCTCGACTGTAGGCATGGTCTTCAATAGTACATTCCTTAATTCCGAACGTGAGACAACTCGAGTCACATCTTCAAAACTTTGCTACTATATGTGAAGCGGATGAAGTTGTGTTATTTGAGCGTACCACATTTCTAGTAATTTCTCATTCAACTAGAATTGAACATTCAGATGTTCATAGATTTGAAAAAATCAGTAATTATATGAAACAGTTTAAGCTGAGTTGTGGGTGAGTTACTTATAATAAAATAATTTAAATTTCCATCAATTCCATTGAGTATTAGAAATGATGACACTCTCGTTTTATATAGTAAATTCCAAGCTCAATTTAAAAGCATGGAAATTCGACAGGCAAATTTTGCCGCATTCTTTGACGTTTTGACTGCCAACACATATGTCATGGTCATTATGTCTGATTCATCTGTTGGTATGTACTGTAAAGGAAAATTTCTTGTTTGTATGAAATTTGTTTTTTAATATTTTTTTTTTTGTTTTCAATTAGAATCTGCTGCAACCCAAATGAACATTAGTGTGGCAAGAAAACATTTTGAAAAATTAGAAGTTATGCCTAGATAATTTAATTCATTAATAATCTTTATTTATAATGCACTATAGGTTGCCATTCTCTCGTTTTATTTATTTGTAATTTTTAGCAGTTCTATTATTATTTGTATTATATTTAGTCTTCATCTCTTATTTTTTTTTTTTTTTAAAAAAAAGAATTTGTTTCCTACCAAATAAGTATTGATAAATAATTATAAAAAGAACAGAAAACCTTTTTTTTTTTTTAAAAAAAAAAAAAAAGCGATCAGGTATCGCTTTCTGTTAATTTAATCCTAATAAAATAAATTGCTTGATAGTAATAAACCAAATAAGATGTAGTTCGAAAAATTTAATTTACTAAAGTTTTCTGTCTTTTTTGTTTAATATATTCTAATCTCAGTTTATCTAATTCTTCTTGTGTAGTACTAAACATCAATATATCCAATAAAATATGTAATAATTTAGTAAAGCAATAATATAGAATATTTTAGTCAATATGAAATAAATAGAAATCCTCACAATTTATTTAAACAATTGTTCATGGTTTTTAGTTGGCTTCTACAAGCCCACGCAACCGAAACAACTCTTCCTGTGGTACAATCAACAAATTCTTTATAGCCGGTAAGGTAGAAATGAGAAAAATGGGTAATTTATAAAAAAAAAAAAAAAAAATATTATTTACCTTTAATTAATGATGCACAATTTGTTCTTGCATTCATCTTAAATTTCTTAAGTAATTCTTCTTCTTCCGCACGTGTTAATATGTTCATGATTTTATAAAATTTATAATAATAATACAAAGTGAAAAAAAACAAGATTCCGAGATAGACTTATTGATTTTTCAGTTGTGGACGATCGTTTAGTATTTTTGGCCAGGATTATCATATTACATTTTTTAAATAAGATTTTAAATAAGTTATTTATTTTTATTACATTTATAACTTACAATACAAATTTTTTACACGTTATCATAAAAATATCTAGATAAATATATATATAAAAATACACACATATATATATTTCATTATTTCACAAAGAGAAATGCACAAAATAATAAATTAATTGGTGATATTATCAACACCGTAACTACGTACACATTATTATAATTAATTGATAAATTACTAATCAGTTTTTCCCATGTTCCCACCAGATAACATTGTTCAATTCAGATTTATTCCATGGGTTTTTTGAAGCATTGGAATCTGGATCATTTGTTTGAGAATTATTTGCATTAATTGCGACATTATCATTAACACCCTTGTGTTGATTACTGTGTTGTTTCTTCTTCTTTTGCTTAGTTTGTTTAGGATTACTTCCTAGATTATTTGATCCACTGCGGTTATGAGCTTTGCCATTTTTTTGTTGTGTTGGATGTGACAGAAAACCTAGTGATGTCGTTGGTGAAGGTTGGGCCGATACATTTGTTGATTGCGAATGAAATGTCATTAATGGTGGAAGGTTAGGATGAGTATGCATCTGTTGTGGCATCTGTTGTTGCATTTGAGAGGAAGCTTGCGCGGATTGAAGTTGATGATTAGTGTGTGGCAATTGAACAACTGGTTGCATGGGAGGAATTTGATGAAGCGGAACCGATTGGACATCTTGTGGTGGTTGATTGCATTGAAGATGATTGGTAGATGAATAATGAATAGGATATTGATGCGTCGGATGTTGAAAATTAATGCCTGAGGCCATTATTTGACTGGGTTGAGAACTTTGTGAACTTTGTGAAGACATATTCGGAATTTGACTGTATGTTTGTTGTGAATAGATGTTTGGAGTGTTTGGTGACTTGATACGATTATAATTGGAATGTTCGAATGAATTATTTGGAAAGGATGGGCTGTTATAAACCAAAATATCTCGAGACATACGATGATCATCGATGATATCATTATTCATAACACGAGGAGTATGTATGGGAGAATATGAAACTGTTGATGTACTAGCAACATTCATCTGTAATCGCATCCTCAACTCTGCTAATTCGTTGGTAATTTCAGAATTCTTATTTTGCAAACTCTGGTTTCTTTCAAGAATTTGTTTCAAATCCAGAGTACGTTGTACGACTTCCTCGGCTTTTGTGTTTGCTTCTTTCGTCAATTCACTATTATCATGTCGTAATTGACTAACCTCGGAACTTTTATTGTCAAACTTAACTTCGAGATCTTGACACATTTTCTGTAAAGACTCAATTTGGGTTGAATGATTCTCGGATTCTCTAACGCGTTGACGAAGGCTTTTTAATTCTGTTTCTAATTCATGAGCACGACGTCGATAACGATCCAGTTCAACTGAGTGAGTTTCTAACTCCTTCATTTTCAAACAGGTACGTTCAAGGTCAGAGGCTTGTTTCTCCAATTCCTTAATACGAGGACGTAACTCAGCAAGTTCAACTACTTCTTCTTCTAGCTCTTGGCGAACTTTATTTAATTCATTCACTCTGTTTTCTAAAGTCTTCTTAGAAGTACGATGAACGGCGAGTTCTTTTTGGATTGTCTGGATTGTCTCGTTTTCAAGTTTACGAGCTTGCTTCATTTCATTACATTCCAACTTCAATTTTGCAATTTCATTCGAATCTTGATCATGTTGATTTTGGAGTTCACGGTTTTTCCTTAGCAGTTCAGTCTTCTCATTTTCAATTTTTTCTTGAAATTCTTTCAACGAATTATAATGAGAAGCTTCTTCCTCCAATTGACGATATGAAGTACGCAAGCTTTCTTCTCTACTTTCGACTTGCTGAAGTTTAGATTTAAGTTCACTGATGTTGGACTGATGACTATTTTTTGTAGTAGTATTCTCTTCAAAAAGCTTTTGGTTTTCATTCTGTAGGAGACGAAATTTTTGCATCTGCCCTTCTAACGACAATTCAACCTGGTTATTTTTGTTTCGAACAAGGTTGAGTTCAGACTGCAATTCTAAAATCATAGTATCTTGCTTACGCTCTTTCATCTTGTATTCTTCAGAACGTTTGGCGAATTCATTTGCAAGTAAGGTATTTTCTTCTATCAACTTATTATTCTTAAAACGTAATTGTGCAACTTCGGCATCAAATTCGCTAAGACGATGACGTAACGCCTGTGAATCCGTCATCTCATCATGAAGTTGCTGTTGACGATCTTGCATCTTTCGATGTTCATTCTGCATTTCTTGAAGACGGGTCTTTAATTCGTCAAGCTGACTAAGCTCTTTTTGAAGCATGTTTTGAAGTTCTACATGACGTCGTTGAACATTACTTGTAGATTGAACTTCATCTTTAGTCTGTTTAAGTTCCGCTTGAAGTTGCAAATGCCGTGTCTGCACTTCTTCATGCCTTAACAAAAATTCTTCATGAGAAGAACGAATATCTTGTTGATAATCTTGCAATTCTTGTAAAAACTGTTCCTGCATCTTATTGAATCTTATTTCTTCGTTTTTTCTTTCAGTTTCTTCAAGTCGTCTTATCGTATCATCCTTTCTTTTGTCTGATGCGGAAGAACTACTTGTAGTACATTCAGGCTTAGTTTCAGCCAATGTTGTTCTAACTTCAGACACAAGCTTCACAATATGCTTCTGAACTTCCATCTCAACTCTACTAACCACTTCGCTTGATAAGTTTTTCTGGAACTCTTCCCAGTTTGGTGGACTATTTTCAACATATTGAACCGGGAAGGGTGGAGGTGGTGCAGCAGGCACAAAGAATGCCTGATCAAAAGAAGTTGAGACGAAACTACCGTACGAACCTGTTGTAGTGTCAAGTGCTGAAAGTTCAGATGGTAAAATCTGTTGGCTCGATTTCCTTGGTTTTCTTTGATAGGGTAATTCAGTATCACCATTTACATCCAATACCGCCTAAGTTATTTTAGTTTAAATGAGCAGCAACGTTAGCAAATCAATTTGTAGACGAAAAAAAAATGAAATAGACAGATGATGAGAATAAGCGAACCTTCTCCTTTTTGTTCTTTTTCTTCCGATCATCCACCTCAGTTTTCGAATCAGAATCAGACCTATTCTGATCCGTTGATGAACCGCTTGAGGCGAAAGTTGGTTTAAAAGACGGCGCTAGAGCATTTAAGTTGCTCTTTCGACGACGAGCACGTTCTTTTTTGTCGAGTTCCTCGAGACCAGTTTCTCTTGCATTCTCATTTGTTTTTGAGGATGAAGCTGCACTTTCTTCTTCTTTTGTTCCTTTCGATCTCCCTGCTGTGGATTGTTGTTTCGCAGGGAACGTAAAGTCTTGGGCCAATCTTCCGTAGTTTGAGCCCCGGGTCTTTTGCTGATCAGGGACTTTTCCAAGTAGTTTTTCAAGGGCTTCTATTGCCCCTTGCGGCATATCTTGTGTTGAGTTCTGGATGGATAACAATATCATTAAAAATCCAATTTTTTTTATCGCAACATTATGAATAATAGTAAAAATAACTAACGTCGTTTTTCGTGCCATGTAAAGCATTTAAAGTGTCTTTAATATCTTTTTCCCTCTTTTCCCTCTTCTCTTTCTTGTTTTTCGGGTAATTTACGATGATAATCTTATCATCCATATCCATTAAAAACGATGAAGATTGAAAAATGTCGGGCTTTGAGTTCGTGTCAGGAAATCTTTTCTTCGCCTATAATCAGGTAAGGCGGAAAGGGAAAAGAAAGCAAAGTAGAATATATAAGATGATTATTCATTAATGTGACATGGTTTTCACGTCCGATAACTTCGTCATTCGATGAATATTATAAACCATTCGAATATTTTTCTTTTGTAAACGTAATTAACTCATAATCTAATCAAATTTTTCAAGTTCGCGAAAAAATAAATTTGATAATGAATTATCCTAAATCCTGTAGTCTTCTATTCGGGATAATGCTGACATTCTTTGAAGAAAATCAAGTCATTTGAGGCTTCTCATTTACCTCTTCTGTTACAGACTTTTCGGCCATCTCCTCTTGTCTTTCCCTGGTGGCCTCATCCAGCAACTTGTATGCGCTCTCGCACTTTGGTAGCGTTACGGTGGCCATATTTGTTCTTGTCCTTTTAGCCTTCTTTGGCAGTGCGGGGGTAACTGGAGTTGCTGATGTTGTCATTATGTTATTAGCTTTATACAATTGTTTTTTTTATTTTATTTTAAGGGATGAGATCAATTAAAAATTTACAAAAAAGAACAAAATTATGATAGAAGAGAATTTATAAAAAAAAGCATTTGAAACAAAAAAAAAAAAAGAAGATAAAAACGAATTAAATAATATAATAAAAATGAGTAGGAAAAAAAGAAATATTTGAAAAGTTAAATATTCGATGATAAGATAATTTTTTTTTGTTCTCGCGACCAAAAAATCTGAAAATAGTGAAATTATAAAAGTCTAAAGGTCGCACAAACCCGTTTGTAACAGAAAAAAGGCAATGATTTTCCAGTAACCATTGAAAATACTTTTTTTGTTGAAATGAAAACAATTAAATGGTTTTTTAATATTTATGTGTTTCTATTTCTCCTTGACAAACCAACAATGAAATAATTGTCTAAAATTTCCCAACAAAAAAAAATTTCAATAAACGAAATGAACGAAAACAGTTTATTTTATAATCCCGGATTTCACTCCGGCAAAATCGCCGTACTCATGCATATCGTTACACAAAACGTTTGTTCGTTTCTCCAAAAAAAAAAATATCTAGTAACTTCACATTATCAAGTTGTTTATCGAACAATCAAACACAAACAATGCACTAATATTTAAACTCTTGATCAATATTGTAACAATAAATCACACTTATCTAATTATGGAATACGGGCTGGGCTGTACGTGGCTGTGGATTTTATCTCGAGAAAATTTTCATTTTTTTTTTATTGTCCAAAAAAAAAAATATATTAAAAATTAAAAATATTAAAATAAAAAAAATTTAAAATAAATATTTCTTTTTGATTATGTCGATTACGCGTACGGCAAATTTTTCTCGTAAAACAAATGAGACTGATATTAATGTAGCGATACATTTGGATTCAGTGGGAAATCAAACAATTGAAATCAATTCTGGCATAGGATTTTTAAATCATGTAATTTTTTATAAAATGAACTTTCCATTTTTATAAACATACGATATGTTCTCATAAAGCCTCATAAACCGCTCCTTTTACATGGGAAATAGATGTATCATGCTCTCGCAAAACATTCGGGTTGGTCACTAACACTAACATGTAAAGGTGACTTGCACATTGATGACCATCATTCCGCAGAAGATACAGCAATTGCATTAGGACTTGCATTCAAGCAGGCATTGGGAGAACCAAGAGGCATAAAAAGATTTGGTTATGCTTACGCTCCATTAGATGAGGTGATAATCATCACTTTTTTTATCAAGATGCATTTTCAGGATATTCGTTTTTTGGGGGTGGGAAGGAAATTATGACAATTTCTTTTACGTTTTTATTTGTTTACACATGGAAATTTGGCGGTTCCGTAGGCTTTGTCGCGCGCTGTTGTTGACATTTCGGGAAGACCATTTGCGGACATTAATATGGAATTGAAACGAGAAAAAATTGGGGAACTTTCAACTGAAATGATCCCTCACGTCTTATCGTCTTTCGCCACTTCTGCTGGAATTACATTACATGTTGATGTCTTAAAAGGAAAAAATGATCATCACAGGTAAATAACGAAATGATTTGTCCTTTATCCTATTAATATTAACATAATTCATATTATAGAGCAGAATCTGCTTTTAAAGCTCTTGCTGGAGCATTACGACAAGCAACTGAGAGGACTGGAACAGATGACGTCCCCAGTACAAAGGGTATTATATAAATAAAAGACTGCAAAGTATAACTTTGTTTTTTAATTATATTTAATTAAATCAAAACATGTATATTAAAGAATTAAATGACTTTAATTATGATCTTTGGGATTAATGATGTTATTATAATTGTTTTTTTTTGATGATTTTAAATTTCTCAATATTTAGTCCATTTTTTCTAATGCATTTAATCTTTCTGGAAGAGGTGGATGTGAAAAATGATATGCTGAATACCACGCGTCATTATTTATATTTCCCAAATTTTTCATTTGAATTTTGATTAATCCTGTACGAAGCTGTTTTCCAAAACCCAATTTCTTTGCGAAAGCATCTAGAAAAAAAAAATAGTCAATAATGCTAGTTTAAATAAGAAAAAAAGAATTTTCGAAATAAAATATTTCTAGTTACCGGCTTCGAATTCATGTTTTCTGCTTAATATGTTCATCGAAAATGCGACAACATTCTCAATAGGAGCATAAATGAATTGAAACAATATAAATCCAATCAAGGTTGGCTGTGTTTCAAACCCAAATGATCTATAAAGAACCGTGTTGCCAATAAATTGAGAAAATATAAAGAAAAGGAACAAATTGTGAATCTGATAAATGGTAAGGACTTTTATGGAATGATTTAAACTCCAATGTCCTAATTCATGACCTATAAAAAAAAATTCATATTTAAAATTTAATAATTAAATTGTTAATTAGGAACGAATTTGGCAAATATTTGACTATCTAATTATTTAAATTACCCACCAACAATGGCCAATATTTCCTCATTATCGGCTTGTTCAATCAAGGTATCATATATAACAATTTGCTTATTTTTGAAAAATCCATAAAAATAAGCATTAGAATGCCCAGATCTCTTACTACCATCTATTACATGTAATTTTTTAAGAGGGAATTTAATACGGGCGGCTAATGCTTCAATTTGTTCACGAAGTTCACCTTCTGGAAGTGGTGTAACTTTATTGAACAAAGGTTGAATAAGTGTTGGGTAAATGGTAAGTAGTATGAAATTAAAGATTATCCTAAAAATAAAAAATGTATATAAATTAGTTTAAACCCTTACGATAACATTGATAATATTTTAAATTGGCAAATATGAAAGACTCTTACATAAAAACCCAAACATAAAAGTAGAAATTGTCACCACTCCACTTAATGATTTGTAAACCTAAAGCTATAATTGGAAGACCTATAACACCAGTAATCAAAAAGCCCTTAACCGTGTCCATAACAAATAATCCTAAAGTCATTTTGTTAAAACCATGACGTTCTTCAATAACAAAAGTATAGTAAAGACTTAGAGGGAGAGATATGAAGTATAACAAAGTAGTAATTGTTACGGTGAAAATCAATGATTGTGTTATCTAAGGAGGAAACAAATATTATTTTAGACATTGTATACTAAGAGTTTTGACATTCATATATACATACAGATATATGTAACATATCGATAAATCGATAAATCGATAAATTGAAATTAAAAAAAAAAAAAACCTCATAATCCGTCCCGTACCCGGCATATGTCAACCATTCTCCAGAGAGGTTCCATAACCATGGAAGTACATCCCATACGATCATCCACGTACTTTGTAGTTGTCCAAATAAACCCGACACAAACCCGAACTTCGCCTTGTCAAGGCCATATTCTTGTGTTTTACGAAATTTCTCCCGAATTTCTTCGATATCTTGCAGAGATTTTGGTGGATTTGGTTCGCGAAGTTTCCGATATTGACGGACACTTTAATGTTAAAAACAGGTGAGAAACTAAATCGAAATCTCGAAACAAAAGATCTATCGTAAGGAGGTAATCATACTGAGATTAATACCCTAAATATTGTTCAAATGTGTAAACGGCCCAAGAAAAGGCCAGTACAAATTCTTTATATGGTGTACCCGGTGCTTTAAGATCGAAGCCAAGTATATCCATCGCGATTTCTTTTCTTGAAGAATAAATTTGTATAAAACTCGACATTTATATTAAGGATCGCGATTCGATCATATGACCGATCTTGAAGGTTGGGATTGGTTCGAATCTGATTGGACCGGATCGATCGTCACGATAAAAAAACTAAACTAGTAAACTAGGAAGCAAATCTTCAATCCTACGAGCCGTTAATTTGAACAATTTTGGTGGAAGCGAGCGAGATATTAGTATAAATTAGTAATTATAAAAATATTTAAGAAAAAACAAATTAATAAACGTACCGGGAGAAGACAAAAAGTATTGCACAGACAAGATTTAGCTCAATCGATCCGTGATTGGAGAAATTTCCAATGTTATTTTGGATTTAATTATTAACAAATATGTAAAGCCCATAACATATTATATTTTATACGTTAATAATGAAAAGTATGTTTATTTCTTTTATCAAAAACAAATAATGCCCATGAAGTTTATTCATCCAGAATAAATATGATAAAATACATAAATCATGCATTTCTTTTACTTAGTATTGCATCCTGCTAATATCACCTAATACACGTTCTTTTTTAGATCAATCGTATGCATGACTTTAACATAATGTTATTCTTCGAAAAGTGGTTTTCTATCGGTACACCTTAATTTACAATATGTTTCCAAAAGAATATTTCTAAAAATAACATGTAATGTACTTAAACAAAAGAACGGAATATAATATCATAAATTCTTTTACCATTATTAACTGGATCATCGGTAAATGCATTTTTAATTTCGATCTTTAGCTTATTCACGTCAAACATGGCGAAAGATCAAAATAAAAATACAGCTTGTTTATGACGCTTCTTTAGTCGTCTTACCTCAAGATATCGAAATAATTTTTTTGTAATGCTACTACTAATGTTATTCATATTGAGTTCAAAATCGGTCTAAAAATCGATCTTTAAAGGTCAATATCGAATGAATGTAAAAAATCACGTGCAGAACATACTGAAAAAAATAAGCCGTTTCATTAAAATCGATTCTTACGAAATTTTGTTACTTTTACTTTTAAATACATATTGACATGGAGTTTTATAAAATATTAACAAGCTTTGTAAGTTTATTTAATCTGAACAAGATTTGGAAAATTAAAAAAATTTTTTTTCGCATGAATAACAAATAATTCAAAAAAATAAAAAAAATAAAAAAAAAATGCCTCCAGGACAATAAAAACATTTTCTTTTTCATTCAAATTATTACAAAGATTCTAAGATTAAGTAATTCAAAACCATCTATTTAAATTTTTTTTTTTTTTTTTTTTGCTATAAATCATTCATAAGTCTCTATAAGGAATATATAGCATATATATTATATATATATATTACGCGAGGAATGTAATTAAACTTACATAAAACTTTTTATATACAAAAAAGATGCAATATAGAATGAGTGTAATTTGTTTGATTGGATAAAATACAATTGAGTGAAATGCAAAGAATATATGGAATAGTATTAAAAAATATGGACATATGGATGTGAAAATGCAATATTTATATAATGTGTGAATGATATGCTAAGTTGGATATTTATATGTTTTGTTTTTGTTGTGTCAAACGTGTCTATAATATTCATCGATAACGTCATCTACACCATTAGCAGCAAAAGTATCAGTATCCTGGATCCTTATAATGACATTTTCTTGAAATTGTGGGGATGAAGGAGTAACATTAATGATTGGAAGATTTTGATAATGTTCAGGATAAACTGATAACAAATGATCTATGTGACTGACACTTCCTACTTCTCCAAAACTTAATGATTGTATTTGGGTAATCTCATTCAATGTTACGGAATTCCTAATAGTTGAAGAATCTGTCAATTCATCACTATCATAATTTTCAACATAACGTTTCGTTCCAAAATCATCATGATCATTTTCATCAAGGAATTCTCTTTCAGCTAACGTTCCTTTTCGATGATGCGTTGGAACAAGCATTTGTAAATCTTCATCAACTTCGTCTATAACGGTTTGGGTTTCTACTCCATCAATTTTTATTTTTAATCCAGACGTTAAATCGAACGCGGCCTGTTCACTTGGAGTACGATGTCCATTCAAGAACAAAATATTTTTGAAACCACTTTTCTTTTCTTTGCTAATTAAAACTTTTGGAGGAGGTGATATATGTCTTGTATTAAAAGTTTCAGACTTTCGCAAGGGATTTTTTGATAATTGCGGTTGTTTTTCGTTGGTATTATTACTGTTGTACGAGGTTGAATTAGTTTGAAAACTTCGAAGGGTTTCAGAGTAGGAAGTAGCAGTTTCATCTTCTTTACGAGATATATAACGAGAGATATAACAAAAACCGAAAACTTTATCCAACTTGAGAAGCTTGAGCCATCTTCCATAAGCTGTCATTGCATCTTGTCCTGTACCAAAAAATATGAATACGAAAAATCCAGCTAATGGTTTAGCATAATCCACAAATGTTACGCCATTAGTTTCTCCTGGGAACTTTTGGACAACATTATAATATAATCGGGCTTCATCCATGTTATATGGTTTAATACCATCCAAGATATTTGAGAAAAAATTGAGAAGAGCGGCTGGCAAGGCGAAAATGAGGAAAGTAATACAAAAGAAGACTAGACGATAGAATTTTGAAGAGCTAAGTCCGGATTCATTATGCCTTAGGAGTGATTGAATTTCAAGTCTTTTTTTAATAATGGCATAAGCAGTCATTCCTATGAAAAGAAATTTTATTTTTTATTTTTAGAATGCAGTTATCACGTGACGGCGCGGGTTGCAACATTTTTATTTGAATTCATACCTGAATAATAACAACCAACTAAAGAAATAATCGGGGGCCATATGTTATTGATGACAATGAAAACCCAATTGATTTGAGCGGGACTAAAACATCCAAGAACAGGGCGAATAGCATATTTACTTACTTGCACTATATAAAATAAGCTCATAAAGATGAGTGGCATTACAATACTAATAACAAAATCTCTTATAGCTCCTCTTCTTTTGACCGTTTCCGTTAAAATAACAGGGTAAGCAACATAGGAATACAATGTATATATCATACAAGTGATAGAGGCCAAAAGACCGAAATTGGTTGCCACATATATTGGGGAAGAAACTAAACACCAAATTTCTGCTTTATCTTTCAAATCTATAGGATCTGGCCATAAAAGTGAATTCACAAAGATTATGAAATTTGACATTATTATCCATATTGTCATGAATATTGCTCCGTAATTTCGAGTTTGTAAATGGAAGATTCCCGGTATGATACATAGAAGGACAGCAAGTCCTGTAGAAGCTGTGAACATAATATCACCCATTTTTATATCATATGATAAGATTTCTTTTTATAATTTTGACCTCGTTAAAATTCAAATTATCGTCAAATGAAGGAATTCTTTCTTTCTTTCTTTTTTTTGGAATCTGCGACCGTGTTGATTGAAAGTGAAAAATATTATTAACTAATGTTTTTAGCACCGGGCTTCTAAGAAGATTTTCTTTTTTTAAAAAAAAAATGATAGATAAATAAATGTATTAGAATAACTTTATAAAGATTAATGTATGTGTATTATATATCGGAAAGTATGGTGAGAAAAAGGCTGAGAGAAAAAAATAGAAAGAGGGTTTAGAGGAGTATATAATGAGCAAATGTCGAAGACCCAAAAAAAAAAAAAAAAATGAAGAAGTAAAATGTATAGAACTAGAAAGCCGTGGTGATTGTATATAATTTTTTTCTTGAAATTTGGCGCAGCCGAATCAACGACTGTTCCAAAAGAAAAAGAAAAAAACTTTAAAATTTATTTAAAAAACCGTAGAACGAGAGAGAATTAAATAAATCAGAATCAAAAATAAGTACAAGTGCTTTATTAATGAATTGGCACATCTAGAAAAAAAAATTTTTTATATATTAATTATAAAATTATATACTATATCGAACAAAGAGATTTTTTTTTTACAATAAAATAATTTAGATTAATTTAAAGCAATTAAATCAACCAAGGAAAAGAAAGAGTATTCAAATACATAAATACATATATATATATGCGCCAATCGAATAAATCGACATGCTCTCGTTGTTTAATAAGCGCGCCCGATAATTAAAAATTGTATTACCAGTACGATAATTTATGCATGAGACAAAAAATTCGATGGTAGAAAAACAATAATGTAAAATGAGGGGTAACTCAATTAATTTACATAGCTTTAGTACTTTATAAGATTATAAAGAAATAGACATACATTGTCGTTCTAATGTGTACCCATTCATTTTCCTTATTTGAATAAAACAAGGAAACCAAAACGAGAACAAGGTGATACAGACGATCTTTAATTTGACCCTTACCTTGTCATGATTAAAAAGGAAATTTTTTGTGATAAAACATTGGTCAAGATTACTTTAAAATAAACAAGGATATATTACTTGTTATTCATTTCAGGAATTCTTTGTTTATTGTAAATGGGGATTAAATTAATTCCACTGTATCCTAAAAAATTTCCTTAATTGTTAAACAGCATTTTAGCCTAGTTTGGGTCATTGTTCGTGCCCAGTAATTATTTACTTTTTTATGTATTGTGCTTTAAAAAAAAATAAAGTTGGTGTCCGATGATAAAATTTTAATATATTAGTTATAGTAATTCTTTTTTTCTTAGTAAATAAGAATTAGATTGTAAGGATTTGAAATTTTTTTTTATAAGGAATAAATATTTTTTAATCATAAATCTGATTGTTGCTAAGGTCTCTTTCTCGTTCTCGAATATTGTTATTAAAGAGAATAAATCAAGGATATACGAATACAAATCAAGAAGTGAGCTCATTATTTTCTATTGGTTTTTTTTCTGCTTTTGAAAGAAACATTAATTTATTAGTTTCTAAAGAATTAACGGAAAAATTCAGAATTGATAACTTGCATGTATTGGAATAAATAAAGTCGTATATCGTGAAATCGGGGACAGGTTAGCCCGTAATATAAAAAATTCCTAAATTGTATAATGCATC